CTCATGTAGGAATGCAAAATCGCATGCTATTTGAGAGATGGCCACTGCTTGGCCAACCGACCAACCCCCCTGCCTTGGATAGAAATTTCCGGATTTAGGGGTTTAGGGTTTAGGGCAGTATGTCCATGAAGGATTGCACTTCTGTAACATAATCCCTATAATATCATCCCTATATAGCCCCTAAATAACCCCAATAGACCCCCTATATAAACCCTATATACTGGTCCTCGTATTTGATGACAACACCTTGTTTTTGCTCTGCCAGGAGCGATGGCGACTACGTCATGGTGTGACTGTCTTGGAGGACAAAGTCTCACCTTTGCAAGAGACGGCTGTGTCTGCCAACCGTTCTAACCACTGGTCACTTGATCATCAACGCTTTGCTCTTTGATTTTCGGATATGGCCTTCCTTTTTTTGAACCCATATTCTGAGACCCTCCCTCTAGCCTCTATGTGTCCAAGATAGTGGATCATGTACCCCTACTTAAGCCATAATCTAAACTCCTGGTATCCCCCTCACTAGCCCCTATAGTAGTCCCCTAGATACTAATCCCCCTTCGACAAGTTTAAGCTATGGCTCATTTGAAGGCACAAGGGGGGTCCTGATTTCCTGAGTTCCTTGAGGTCCTCGGATGGCTTAGCGCACGAAACCTCCCAGGATGGTGGCACCCAGCTTCCAAGACCGACCTGGTCCTTCTTGGAGGCATGCCATTATCATTCTGACAATTATTGGTATTATTAGATTACTATTATTTTTTTATTGTTACTATTGCTACGAATATTGTGTTATCACAATTGCTACTATTTCCATTTTTACTAGAGGCGTGCCTTCCCAGCTGGATGGAGCAGCTCCTTCGGCGTCAGCACGCAGCGCCCACGCCGCTGCAAGCCACGACGTGGCCATTGCTTAGGACCACTCACTCCTGTTTCTGGATTCTGGCTAGCAGGCAATGAAGGTACCGAAAGGAAAAATGGCAACCATTGCATTATTGGGGGGTTTTATGGGGACACCTAGAAGGATCAATTCCGTCCTTCGTTGCCAACCAAGACATGGAGTCTTACATACCCTAAACCCTAAGCCCTACTTGGAGGGTTAGGGACTTAATAAGTAGGTTAAGAATGGGGATAACTAGGGTTATTATTATATGGGTTGTAGGGGTTACTAACCTACTTACTAAGTCCCCCTGACCCTCCAAGTAGAAGGGCAAGAGCAAGGTTTGGAGTCTTGGATGCGATTGTGCTGCTTGGCCTTCAGAAGATGCCTGCAGAGTCTTAGGGCCGCCAACAGATGCCACCAATAGTAATAACAGCAATGGTAAGAGTAGTAGTAGTAAGAATAACAGTAATAGTAGTAATAACAATAACAGTAATGGTAATAATAGTAAGAATAAGAATACCAGTAATAATAGTAGTAGTAATAATACTTGTTCTAATGATAATATCAACAAGAAGTGGTGGCAGGACAAATCGGGATTTGGTGGTGACGGCTGAACACGGCTGTGGCAAGACTTTGGCGTACCTGGTGCCCTTGTTGGTTCGAGCTGCGGCGTTGCGAGGCAGTGGCTGCGTAGTACTATAGTTTCGGGTCCACGAGGGCTTTAGGGTTTAGGGCTTGACTGCCTTTAGGACGAAGGGTTCGGGCTTGGGGCTTAGGGTTTAGGTCCTTTAGAGATTGGTGGTTAGGTCAGGTCAATCCCCGCCCGAGGAATAGCCCCTTAACATGGAGTTAATGGGGCTTTAACATACCAACAATAGTCTCTTATGGTACCCATTAATGGGTGGCAGATTGACCCCCAGTCCGAAACCCTAAGACCCTAAAACCAGATCCAGAGATTTGTGTAGTCTGGAGGCGCAACCCATGAGCTCTTCCACTGCCTGGATGAGCTGCCCTGGGATCAGTGGCGCCAGAGGCCCGGTTTAGGGTCAAGGGTGGGATCCACCTGTTGTTACTATCATACATAACACCCAACCCGAAACCCGATATGTCCCCCTTACCACTCCTTATACTTTCTGGAGCTTCAGGAAGAGTGGGGGAGCGGATCCCTATAGCCCCCAAGTAAGAACCGTTGATACCGCTGCAATGGTACCCATATTCACTCCCCCGCTCCCCCTTCAGCACAGTAAGTATAACCACCCGAAACCCAACCTCTGTTATAACGGGATGTGTTTTGCAACCTGCCTAGCTGGCAGGCCCCCCGATGGCGTGGTGATTGTTCCAGTCAAGGAGGTGGCCGCCCAGGCACCTGCGTAGTATTTTTTAGGGTTACTGTTAAGGGTTAAGGGTTTTAGGAGTTTAGGGTTTAGGGTTTATAGCTAGAAAGCCCAATATCGGCTAATGAGGCACCAAACGATATTAGGTGCCCAATATATGATGTAAGGTGTGTTCCCCAACCAAGAGATTTTGGGCTTGCAGGGTATTCGTAGTAGTATTATGATCAAATGATTATTGCCAGCATTGTTGTCATTATCATTTTTACAACTACTTAGGTGGAGAAATAGCAACTATGATGGTTAACAGTGAATATATTGGGGCCTTCTTATATTCCTCTGATACCATTATTACAGGGTGAACGAGTCTGTGTGTGTGTTTTTTTTGTCTAGGCGCGTTTTTTTTTGGGTTTGCGTGTTGTGTATGTTTCTTCAGTTTTCTCTCTATTGTTTTTGTTCTGCGTGTTTTTTCTCCGCACGCTGCTTCTCATGGGAAGCAAAAAAAAGCGGAGCACAGACCAGCATGCCTTTGACTTTTTTTCGTTTTTTCTGCCGCATGCGTTGCATCCTTTTCTAGAGGGCGGGGGAGCGAACGCGGAGCAAATCAACACACTCAGGGCGGTTCTTTGTTTTTTTCTCCGCATGTGTTGGCTTTTCAGAGAATCAGAGAAAGAGAGAGGTTTTTCTGAATCATGTAGGGTTTATTTTTTGCAGAAAACCTAGCATTTTCCTGTAAAAAACTTACTTACATGTACATGTTTCAATAACTTCTCTCGATTTTCTCTCGCAAGCTCCGTAACGCATGCAGAGCACAACAAATAACATGGACTGGGCTTTTTTTTTGCTCCGCATGCGTTGCGCCATTTTCTAGAGAAAAACAGAAACACGCAGAACAAACAAACACAAACAAACACGCATAACAAAAAACACGCGGAGCAAAGGCAATACTTTAACCATTTCAGGGAGGGGGTCCAGCTAAATTATTCCTATACGGTTTAGGGTTCTAGGTTGCGTCAGGCTGCCACCCACTAATAGGGGTGTATACATGACTTCCATTATTTGGTGTGGTCACTGTTAGTGGTGTTCTAGGACCCGGCACACTTTATGCGTCATACTTGCCTGGCGTCAATGCATCCGAAGGTGCGTGAATTGATGGCTCCCTTTGCGGTCGCAGGGCACGTCCATGTAGCTGGAGGCCGGGAGGGCAGGGATGGCAAACGACAAGTGTTCGCAGACCATCAGGCGATTTCAGTCTGCATAATCCCCAGTTATGGCACCTGTGTTCCCTTCGGCGCCTATTTCATAAAGCTATACATCCTATGCTACCTGATACATCATTATGTGTCCTTGTACGTGCATATATATCCTAATCGATCGATAAACGTAGCTACATATCCCTATATGACCCTAGACCCAAAACCCTACAACCTAAAGCCCAAACCCCAAGGCCCGACTACACCTTGCATTTCTTCCCCATATGATGACTGTCAATACTAACCTTAACCAGGGACGATTAAAGGTGGATAAAGGGGTACCTCTCGTAGTTTGGCACAGTTTTGAGCATAGGGATTTCCCACAATCAGGGATCCCTTTTTGAGGGTCCCCATATAAGCACTATAATATTTGGGGGTCTACGTTGGGGTCCCCCTATTTTGGGAACTACCACATATTCGCATAGTCCCCAAATACTAAACCCTAACCCTAAGTCCCAAACCCTAAACCCTGAACCCTAAAACCCTAAACCCAAAAAAACCGCATTATAGTAGTTTCCAATTTCTTTTCCATTATCCCAATATAAACCCCATCGCATATGCAGGCATGTCCGAACCAGTGTGCACGGAGAGCGAAGCCGAGACGGCCCAGCGAAAGGAGGCGTCGAGAGTACCTTGGCTAGCACCTCCCAGACCCACAGTTTAGGGTTGGGGGTTTGGGGTTGAGGGTTTAGGATTTAGGGTTTTAGGATTTAGGGGCTTAGAGTTTAGGATTTAGGATTTAGGGTTCAGTGTTTAGGGTTTAGGCTTTTGGGTTGTTTCTTTAGAGTTTAGGGTTTAGGGTTTAGAGGTAGGGTTTAGGGCTTACGGTTTCGGGCTTAGGGTTTAGTGTTGAGGGTTCGCTACAACTACTTATGGTATGGGGAGGTCCTTCTGGCTTTAGAATTCTCAAAATAAAAAATGGAACCCTAAGTCATTGTAGTTCATTTGGGTCTTGGGGGCGGGTTTACTCCAGTGCGGAAACCAGGAAAGTAATGGGAACTTCCATGTTTTGGGATCCTTTTGGGGCCCTAAACTTCCTGGAAGGAATAAGGGAATATATTGAATGTTTTTAGGGTGTAGATTATATAGGGTTATGTTCCCTTATTCAGTGCTAACTACCAGGAAGTAAACCCTACACCCTAAACCCTCAGTGAGTCTGGGTCTCCTGAAGCAGCAAGTGGCGGGGCCTTAGATTTGCTGGCTTATCAAATTTTTGGTCCTTTTGCGGGTCCCCATTATAGTACAGATCCTCTTATTCATTCTGCCTCACAAGGGACAGAACCCTAAACCCTAAAC